GGCTTTTCTTCCCGCCCCAAACCAGGCTCATCCCTGAATTTGGGGCCCGGCCAAGTCGGAGCCTCTGGGATCGCTCCCGTTTTGGCTCCTTCCTCTCCCTCCTTGGCAGATCCCAATCCATGTTTAAGGGAATCCCAGCTGGAATACACAGCGAGGGGCGCGGGGAGGTTCTCCAAGCCCATGGGAACATCCGGATCCCATTCCCGACTTTTTTTTTTTTTCCAGGCCCTGGACGGTTTCTTCTTCGTGGTGAACCGGGAAGGGCGGATCGTGTTCGTGTCGGAGAACGTGACGGGATACCTGGGATACAACCAGGAGGAGCTGATGAACACCAGCGTCTACAGCATCCTGCACGTGGGCGACCACGCCGAGTTCGTCAAGAACCTGCTCCCCAAATCCTTGGGTAAGGGGGGAAAAATTCCCGGCGGGTCGGGAAGACGCCCTCGGGAACGGCGGGAAACGGCGGCCTCGGGACGGGAGGGCGTTCGAATCTATTTTTAGGATTTTATCAAATTTCTTTTTAGGGTTTAATTTTAGGATTTCTTTTTATCAGAAGTTAAAGGCAGAGTTGGTTTTGATTTGTTTTTTCGGATTGATTTATGAATTTATTGTTGGGTTTTAAGTTTAGCAATTATTTTAGGTATTTAAATTTAGAATTCATTTTATTAATATTAGAATTTATTTATGGCTTTATTTTTTTAGGGTTTAATTTTAGGATTTATTTTGATTAGAAGTTAAAGGTAGAGTTGGTTTTGATTTGTTTTTCGGATTTATTTATGAATTTATTGTTGGGTTTTAAGTTTAGCAATTATTTTAGGTATTTAAATTTAGAATTTATTTTATTAATTTTAGAATTTATTTATGGCTTTATTTTTTTTAGGGTTTAATTTTAGGATTTCTTTTTATCAGAAGTTAAAGGCAGAGTTGGTTTTGATTTGTTTTTCGGATTTATTTCTGAATTTATTGTTGGGTTTTAAGTTTAGCAATTATTTTAGGTATTTAAATTTATAATTTATTTTATTAATATTAGAATTTATTTAAGGATTTATTTTTTTAGGGTTTAATTTTAGGATTTCTTTTTGTCAGAAGTTAAAGGCAGAGTTGGTTTTGATTTGTTTTTCGGATTTATTTATGAATTTATTGTTGGGTTTTAAGTTTAGCAATTATTTTAGGTATTTAAATTTAGAATTCATTTTATTAATTTTAGAATTTATTTATGGTTTTATTTTTTTAGGGTTTAATTTTAGGATTTATTTTGATTAGAAGTTAAAGGCAGAGTTGGTTTTGATTTGTTTTTTCGGATTTATTTATGAATTTATTGTTAGGTTTTAAGTTTAGAAATTATTTTAGGTATTTAAATTTAGAATTTATTAATTTTAGAGTTTATTTATGGCTTTATTTTTTTAGGGTTTAATTTTAGGATTTATTTTGATTAGAAGTTAAAGGCAGAGTTGATTTTGATTTGTTTTTCGGATTTATTTATGAATTTATTGTTGGGTTTTAAGTTTAGAAATTATTTTAGGTATTTAAATTTAGAATTTATTTTATTAATTTTAGAATTGATTTATGGCTTTATTTTTTTAGGGTTTAATTTTAGGATTTAATTTTTTTTTAGAAGTTAAAGGCTGAGTTGATTTTGATTTCTTTTTAGGATTTATTTATGAATTTATTGTTAGGATTTGATTTTAGAGTTTATTTTAAGGATTTAAATTTTAGAATTTATTTCGTTAATTTTAGGATTAATCGATGGATTTGCTTTTAGGATTTTATTTTAGAATTGTTTTTTTAGAAATTAAATTTGGAATTGATTTTAATTTATTTTTGTAATTTATTTATTGTTTATTTATTTATACATTTATATATAAATATATATTTATATACTTATATACTTATGTATTTATTTATATATTTACAGATTTATTAATCTACATATTATTTATTATTATTTTATTAATTTTAGAATTAATTGATGGATTTGTTTTTAGGATTTCATTTTAGAATTGGTGTTTTTGGAAATTAAATTTGGAAGTGATTTTAATTTATCTTTTGAATTTATTTTTTATTTATTTATATATTCTATATAAATATAAATTTATATACTTATCCATATACTTTTTATATATTTATGTATTTCTTTATGTGTTTACAGATTTATTTATATATTATTTACTATTATTTTATTAATTTTAGGATTAATTGATGGATTTGTTTTTAGGATTTAATTTTAGAATTGGTTTTTTTAGAAATTCAATTTGGAATTGATTTTAATTTCTTTTTCTACTTTATTTATTATTTATTTACATATTCATATATAAGTATAAATTTACATACTTACTCATATGCCTTTTATATATTTATGTGTTTATTTGTATATTTACAGATTTATTTATTTATCTATATGTTATTTATTATTATTTTATTAATTTTTGAATTATTTTACAGGTTTGTTTTTAGGATTTAATTTTCGAATTTTTTTTTTAGAAATTAAATTTGGAATTGATTTTAATTTATTTTTGTAATTTATTTATTGTTTATTTATTTATGCATTCATATATAAGTATATATTTATATACTTATTTATATACTTTTTATATATTTGTGAATTTATTTATATATTTACGTATTTATTTATCTATATATTATTTATTATTATTTTATTAATTTTAGAATTAATTGATGGATTTGTTTTTAGGATTTTATTTTCAAATTGTTTTTTTTAGAAATTAAATTTGGAATTGATTTTAATTTATCTTTCTAATTTAATTATTTATATATTCATATATAAATATAAATTTATATATTTACTCATATACTTTCTATATATTTATGTATTTACTTATATATTTACAGATTTATTAATCTATATATTATTTATTATTATTTTATTAATTTTAGTGTTTATTTTTGAATTTATTGTCAGGATTTAATTTTAAAAATTATTTTTTCGAAAATAAATTTACAACTGATTTTATTTTGGTTTTAGAACATATTATTTCTTTCTATAATATATATTTAGATATTTATTTATTGTCTGCTGAGAGGCAGAACTCCAACCTGTCCCAACCCCTCAGCTCTTTTCATGGATCAGGAAGAGCAGGAAAACTTCCCCTTCTGCCGGCACAATTCCTTGGATTGCTCTGGGTATCCATGGAAGACGTTGGGGAGGGTTAGAAAACCATCCCGTTGCTTCCCGGAGGTTTTTCGGGAAAAACCCGGATTTATAATAATATTTTATTATATAAATAATATAAATTTATAATAATTTATAATAATATAAATATTATTATAATATT